AATGGGATTATAAAGAAACAAAATATTCGCTTTTAATGCTTTGGAATAGTTATAAATGTATACAATAATATTCTAAAAGTGCGATATAGGCGTTTAGAGAGTTATCAAGGTCTGTAATGTTAGCTGCTTATTTAGAGTGTTTTGAGCTACATTATTTTGGAAGAATGTATTTTGAAATAGTAGATTGATGAAGAATGTGTGATTGAAAAATAAATTAAAAGTTATTGATGTGATGTAAAATGTTATTTTATTGAAAAATGTGTGGTTGAAAATGAGTAGAAGAATGTGAATGAAAAAAATAATGTGGCTCAAACAGGGGCTTATACTTACATTTAGGCGTTTGATCGATGATTTTTTGAGTTCCTCAAAAATTTGTGGGGACATAAGTGTATGCTAGACCTCAATAGCTTTGCTCTTGGTTTCACACAACTCGAAATATGTCGTCGCNTAATGAATGAATGTAGATGCTTTATTTTTTAAAATTTCTTAAGATACTCTTGTTATATATATGATTGAAGATGCTCCTTAGCGTGATGATATTAATTGGCAGAAAATTGATTGACCAATGGGATTATAAAGAAACAAAATATTCGCTTTTAATGCTTTGGAATAGTTATAAATGTATACAATAATATTCTAAAAGTGCGATATAGGCGTTTAGAGAGTTATCAAGGTCTGTAATGTTAGCCGCTTATTTAGAGTGTTTTGAGCTACATTATTTTGGAAGAATGTATTTTGAAATAGTAGATTGATGAAGAATGTGTGATTGAAAAATAAATTAAAAGTTATTGATGTGATGTAAAATGTTATTTTATTGAAAAATGTGTGGTTGAAAATGAGTAGAAGAATGTGAATGAAAAAAATAATGTGGCTCAAACAGGGGCTTATACTTACATTTAGGCGTTTGATCGATGATTTTTTGAGTTCCTCAAAAATTTGTGGGGACATAAGTGTATGCTAGACCTCAATAGCTTTGCTCTTGGTTTCACACAACTCGAAATATGTCGTCGCAGCTTAGCTTGTAGTTTGTAGTGTAAGTATCATTTTATTTACTAATAAAAGTTAATGTGTCGAAGTGATTGTAAACAAAAAGATTTAAACTCATGGAATAGTGAGATGATTTCTATTTGGAATAGAATAGAAGGTCAAGATACTACGACACAATAATGCAATACATGAATGATGCACATTTAACTAGTTTACTATTTTACACCAATGGTTTGGGTAGTGCTATTTAGCATCACTGGTGTTTAACACCAATTTAGGTAGCAACACTAATGACATCAAATTATAGGTTCATATAATTTCACCTTTAATTGAATTTATTATATATTACATAGATTGATGTTCAGCATTGCTGATAATAGATAAGATTATTTTTACGATGTGTGTTATAAAAAATTAATGGCCGAGCTCAGATCGCAAGCATTTAAGGCTATATAGATTCTGGAGACTCATGCCCCCCCCAAAAGGGAGCATTGCATGAAAATAAGAACTCGTCACACTATAATAATTTATTAAAAAAATAATGTTATCTAGCATCAATTTAGATGATCATATTTGATATATTCAATTAAGTGAATCATGTGACGTAGTATTTAAATGAATTTATCATTTAATTTTATGCAGTTGTCATCTAAATTAGTTCTTGACACTAGTGGAATAATTGTAATTACAGTTCCAATTTTCTATTTTTTGTAAATTTTATCATAACCTGTCTTTTGTGACAATAGAAAGACAAATGGATGGATTCCGGTCATTGGAATGTTAGTTGACCAAAAGTTAACGATCTGACCAAATTTTAACCAATTCTAAAAGGGTAAAATGCTAATTTTATATTGTCTCGTATAAAAAAACTAAAATAGCTAAAAAAAAATTTACCATATTTTGATAAAAGTTAATGAAATGTGTGGTTGAATAGTTGATAAAAATTGTGATCCCGAAAAACGTATGATCAAAATTAGTTGTTCACTCTTACCTCAAATTTTTCGCAACCTTTTAAACTATACCAAGCAACTACACGAGCAATTTTATCAACCTGTTCAATTGCAATACAATCACAAAGATTAAGTTGTATATACATAAAAAGCATGAAGACTTTCATGGAATTCATTCGACACGGGGTAGAAAATTCACGCACTTTAAATATCCGTGACCATACACAGGGGCGGAGCTAGAAAATAGCATTAGGATGAGCTGAAATTTAAAAAATTTCGAATTAAGTCACACCATAAAATACTAAACTCATGACAAAGAGTGTACGACACTCAATGAAATAAAAGAAGTCTAGATATTTCATTCTAAGATTTCTCACTCGGTCTTTTTATATTTTCGTACCAAATAGAAAATCAACGCATGTGTTAGAAAATATAAATTGACAAAATCATGATCGAAATAAGCAAATGATATATATCCACTAATAGAAAACTAAGAAATTATTTAATGAATACTATTCTAAAAAACTTTGACGATTAGTTTTTCTAAATAATTGAAAGCTTTGGTCGAAACACGTAATCAATAATACATCACTATATGTTATTATCTCAAAATATTATTTGGTGGAGACGTCATTTTTCTATATCAATTCATTTCATAATAAGTGAAGAATTTCATCCAAAGTGAAAAAAATCGATTAAGAATTATGAGGGTACAAGGAAATTAGATTTAATTCGAAACCATTTTTGGCTCAGTTTCAAGAATATGTTTGTATATAGATCAATTTATAATAAATAAAATTTAACAATATTCTTTTATTGACAAGATAGAATTTAGATCAAGTTATTTATTTTGATCATAACGTCTATTTCATGATCAAAACGAATATTTTTTATTTATATAAACATGAATAAGTAATATATGAAAACATACATAAAATTAAAAATTTAATTACTTTTAAGCTTAACAAAACATATAGTGTCTCTAACTATTAAAATAAGTAATTTATTTTTATTATCAATTATAAAATTTACTTAATTACCATAAGTAAATTTAGTCAAACATGCATTAAATAAAATTGTTAATTTCACAAACGGTCACTGAACTTAACAACCGTAGAATTAAAAATTTAATTGCTTTTAAACTTAGCAAAACATATAGTGTCTCTAACTATTAAAAAAAGTGATTTATTTTCATTATCAATTATAAAATTTACTTAATTATCACAAGTAAATTTAGTCAAACATGTATTAAATAAAATGCTTAAATTGACAATAAGATATTCACATTTCGTGAATATCATGAAAAGAGTATTTAATAATTCTAGTCTTTTAACAAAATTTGAATAAATGAGCATTGTGCTTGAGTTATAATACAAAGTAAAGTTGGACTAATACAAATATTTTTGTCAAAATTGAACAATTTATCCTAAATTTTCCATATGTGTTGGGGGCAGGGCTGGGCTATGGCCTAGCCTAGCCCCCCACTACCTCCGCCTCCGACCATACAATAGTTGACATATTTATTTCCATAAATAGAAAAGACGTTTAATTCCACAAAAAATATATTTTTTACAAAGTTTGGATATATTTAAATATACTTTGTGCATTTAGTAGATTACAACTATCAATTTCAATGTCAATGTCAATGTCAATGTCAATAAAATAATAGAATAGTGTGAAAAATAATGATTGTATTTATTTTAATTAGTGGTTTGGATTTTTCTTTTTGGCATAATTGAACATATTACAAAATTAGTATGTTTTCAGAATAAACACGAGTCCAAAACAAAAACGAAAACAAAACTATAAAATTTATTTAACTATTTACACTTTCCGAACAAACAATATCAAAACCAATTTACACTAACACCTACTTGATCATTAGTTTCATCACCTATTTATTGGACCGCGTCCATCTAGGAGGGCCTGAAACCTAATACAGACGCTGCTATCAGAGCTGGAGAAGGCCAAGTTGCGGTTGGTGCCATCATTAGAAACCATACTGGTTTTGTTGCGTTTGCTTGTTCTGAGCTCATAAATGAGAGTTGTGGATCGTGCCTTGTACTGTGTCTATCTTCATATTTTAATTTATCACCTAAGATATCTTCTATTTACTTACTGTAGTTTTTCTATCCTAAGAATGGGAATAAAGAAAGGGAACAATACATAAATCCTACATATAAGAATTACTTTTCAAAAATAACAAATTTCAAAAATCTGTTCAAAAATCAGATGTTAAATCAATTAATTAAATATTTTTAATTATAATATAATACAATTACCCCAATTTATTAAATTTTTATTCTAATTTGTTAGTTTTGGAGGGTATTTGGCCTAATTAACCCAATACATAATTCCATGTTTTAAAAATCACATTTCATAAATAACAAATTTCAAATTTTTTCTCAAAAATCAGGTGTTAAATCAATTTATTAAATATTTTTAATTATAATATAATACAATTACTCCAATTTATTAAATTTCAAATCCAAATCATTCTTTCTCTCTACTCTCTATCATCTCTCTACCCTTTCTCTCCGGCGATCAACTCCGGCGATTGCTCCGACGACTCCGGCCATCACTTTAGCAGCCGCTCAGACGACCACTCCGGCATCGCTCTGGCGACTACTTCGATGGCCTCTCCAGCAAAATGCTCCAGTGATCACTCCAACCATGCTCCGATCAAGCTACCCACCCCAACCACCCATTCCCAACTTCCAAAAAATTTCCAAAATTTCAAGTCGCAATCAGTCACAACGAGTCACAATTAATCGGTCACAAACAGTCACAATTGGTGACAACACAGTCACAATCAATCACAACTAGTCACAAATGGTCACCACAAACAACCTGCACACACCACAGAGACCGTGACACAAACAACACATCAAATGGCCGTATCACTCCATTACCCCCTTCGACTTACTGTCGATTCCATACTCAACAACACCAATACCAACCACATCAAATATCAAACCCAGACCATAAGTAGGCAACACCATCAAATATCAAACCCAGAACCAGGGCTTTGAAGAAGCCCATCTTTATGCATCAAAAGAAGGAATGGCTTCACTAGTCCTCAACGAAGATCCATCACCACCGTCCAACAACTCAAAGTCGTTTCCTCATGACCCCCTTTCATCATCTCCACCGCTCGTTGAAATTCCGACCGACGATACTGATCCCCTACACCCGCCTCATGACCCCCTTTCATCATCTCCACAGTTCGTTGAAATTCTAACCGACGATACTGATCCCTTACATCGGCCTTCAACGAATCAAGTTCTTCCCAGTCACAGCTCCATTAATTCCATCCTCGAACCCCCGTCTTATGCTGACGCCATCTTTCAATCATTTGACTCTGATTATGTTGCTTCTCCTGAAGTCAATAGCCAAGATCAGTCCTTGTCTGTATTGCCACCATTTTCGTCAGATTATATTAAAATCTGTGTTTCGGATCCACAGAAGGAGCATGAGCAATCTGGGTCACTTGTGCCTGAAGGGAGCTATTATTTCACATATGTGATTACCACTTTCACAAATTTGCCTGAGTTCAATGGGGCGGAGTTCAATGTTCGAAGAAGCAAGGCGAGAGCAGTGGCCCCCTTGTGCGGTGCCGGAAGGGGATGTTGTTAAATCAATTTATTAAATATTATTAATTATAATATAATGCAATTACTCCAATTTATTAAATTTCAAATCCAAATCATTCTTTCTCTCTACTCTCTATCATCTCTCTACCCTTTCTCTCCGGCGATCAATTCCGGCGATTGCTCCGACGACTATTCCGGCCATCACTTCAGCAGCCGCTCAGACGACCACTCCGGCATCGCTCCTGCGACCACTTCGATGGCCTCTCCAGCAAACTGCTCCAGTGATCACTCCAACCATGCTCCGATCAAGCTACCCACCCCAACCACCCATTCCCAACTTCCAAAAAATTTTCAAAATTTCAAGTCGCAATCAGTCACAACGAGTCATAATTAATCGATCACAAACAGTCACAATCGGTTACAACACAGTCACAATCAATCACAACCAGTCACAAATGGTCACCACAAACAACCTGCACACACCACAGAGACCGTGACACAAACAACACATCAAATGGTCGTATCACTCCATTACCCCCTTCGACTTACTGTCGATTCCATACTCAACAACACCAATACCAACCACATCAAATATCAAACCCAAACCATAAGTAGGCAACACCATCAAATATCAAACCCAGAACCAGGGCTTTGAAGAAGCCCATCTTTATGCATCAAAAGAAGGAATGGCTTCACTAGTCCTCAACGAAGATCCATCACCACCGTCCAACAACTCAAAGTCGTTTCCTCATGACCCCCTTTCATCATCTCCATAGTTCGTTGAAATTCTAACCGACGATACTGATCCCTTACATCAGCCTTCAACGAATCAAGTTCTTCCCAGTCACAGCTCCATTAATTCCATCCTCGAACCCCCGTCTTATGCTGACGCTATCTTTCAATCATTTGACTCTGATTATGTTGCTTCTCCTGAAGTCAATAGCCAAGATCAGTCCTTGTCTGTATTGCCGTCATTTTCGTCAGATTATATTAAAATCTGTGTTTCGGATCCACAGAAGGAGCATGAGCAATCTGGGTCACTTGTGCCTGAAGGGAGCTATTATTTCACATATGTGATTACCACTTTCACAAATTTGCCCGAGTTCAATGGGGCGGAGTTCAATGTTCGAAGAAGCAAGGCGAGAACAGTGGCCGCCTTGTGCGGTGCCGGAAGGGGATGGTAGAGGGGAGGCGAGAGTTGGGTGGGTGGTGGGTATAGTGACAGTGTGGTAGAGAGAAAGATAGAGAGAGAGAGAGAGAGGGGGGAGGGGGATCATTTTGGCCTTGGGGGATTAATTCGGGGGTGGGGTGAATTTAAAATTTTATTAATTACAATTAATAATCATATTTAACACTTGAATTTTGAAATGTAAACTTTATCCCCTTATTTTTGAAATGCAATCTTGAAAAAATGGATTTTAGGTAATTTTTTCATAAAGAAATCCACATGTTTGTCGTTTTTATTACTAGTTGTTGACATACAAAAAATGAACCCCAATTAAATGGTCCAAAAATTGGAGCCCACTTAGGGAGTTCAAGATATAAGCCCAATTGAGGTCATTGTAGAATATAGCGGGGCCCATAAATAAAATACTATCATCGCCCAAACCTGTAGGACACCCAGGATCTGAGTGAATGATGTGCCTTACTGTCGCCTAGAGCGATGATCTCATTCTCGTCCAAGTCTTTAAGTCGCTCAAGATTTGAGCGAATACAGTGTCTTGTGGTTACTTAAAACAACGATTATTGAAGCGATTATTGAGCAACCTTATCACACCCCACGATCCAAGAATCTCGGTTACAAGCGGTTAAACAATAAGAGTAATAACAACGGTTGATAACGGTAGTTCCTTGACAAGTCAGTCATCACGAAGAAAGTGGGTAATTTTAAATGGTCCAAAAATTGGAGCCCAGTTAGGGAGTTCAAGATATAAGCCCAATTGAGGTCATTGTAGAATATAGCGAGGCCCATAAATAAAATACTATCATCGCCCAAACCTGTAGGACACCCAGGATCTGAGCGAATGATATGCCTTACTGTCGCCTAGAGCGATGATCTCATTCTCGTCCAAGTCTTTAATTCGCTCAAGATTTGAGCGAATACAATGTCTTGTGGTTACTTAAAACAACGATTATTGAAGCGATTATTGAGCAACCTTATCACATTCCACGATCTTGAGCGAATACAATGTCTTGTGGTTACTTAAAACAACGATTATTGAGCAACCTTATCACATTCCACGATCCAAAAATCTCGGTTACAAGCGGTTAAATGACAAGAGTAATAGCAATAGTTACAAACGGCAGTTCCTTGACAAGTCAGTCATTACGAAGAAAGTTGGTAGTTATAGAGGGTCAAGCAATTTCTAGACAGTTCTACAGAGAAAACTGTCAAAGGAATATAAAAGGGAAAAGAAGACATAGAAGAAAGCCCCCGAATCAATTACTCTCAATCATTAAATATTTAATTTTACTTTTTTTTAATTTATAAGTGCAAATTTTCAAATTATTTCGTGTGCTTGTGCCATTTGGAGGTGTTTTGCTTTTTCCCAATTGTAATTTTCATAAATAGGGCACTCTTTTTTGAGACTTTATCTTAAAAGATTTGTTTCTTATACAATCGTCTGAATTATCTTTTAATTGTTAGCGATAATCCAAGCGAAACACTAGTATAATGGTCTCACGAGATTGGATTGATATTTCCGCTTTTGTATCGCAAATTATGATGTATGATTTACCGAAATATATGTACTATGTTGTTTTATTTTTTTTAAAAAAAACTAGTCAATTTTGATTCGATTTCATTCCACTGTCAAATGCATAATTTTACCTACTTTGATCCGATTCCAAAATAACTGGTACACCTCACTCAGTTACGGTTTAATCACGCGCTTTATTGTGCGTATATTTTAGACGCCACCGTGTTAAAGGTGTTGCTCTCATCCCCGCCGCCCCCTTCTCTCTCCCTATAAAAGTCATATAACGCCGTTGGAACCGCTCTATATATCCATTTTTTAGCTCTCTCCTTTACAATTTCTCTCTCTAGAACTTTGAATTCCATCCTTGAATCCCAAACCTACTAGTCTATATTCTTCTCACTTTCCTCATCATCATTTCAATCTGATACCCACTTTTCTTTTTTTCTCTTTAATTCGTTTCTTCCTCTCACGAAATGACAACACCAGTTATGAAGAATAACTTCTTGCCACCCGGGCTGGTGTCCAATCTGGAACAAGTCCTGTTAAGCCGGAAAACCGGTGGCGGAGGAGATGGTGGTGAATCATCTAATCCCAATGAAAACGAGGACGATTCGGCCAAGCCCGTTTCGTCCAGTGATGGCGGGGATTCGTCCGAGCCCAGTGGTAATGATGGGTCAAAACCCATAATTTTGGTCACGAATAGTGATGGTATTGAGTCCCCGGGCCTCTCGTATTTGGTCGCTGCTCTCGTTCGAGAAGGGCTCTACAATGTCCACGTTTGCGCCCCTCAATCGTTGGTCTTCAAGCCCTTTTTTCTTTTAATTCTCATTCCTTCTTTGTGCATAGTATTCATGGATATGTGTTTTCGTGATGTTATTTAGTATTTTGCGATTTATCAATTGGGTATTGTTTTTTTTCCGAATTTGAGTTTGTAAATCCGGTATTAGAGATTTTTGTTTTTTGACTTTCTTTGGGCGGTTTGGTGGGATGTGTTGACAGGGATAAATCGACAGCAGGGCATTCTTTATCACTAAAGGAGACGATTGAGGTGGTTTCTGTTGATATTAATGGTGCCACTGCTTACGAAGTTTCTGGTAGTATTGTTTTCCTTATCAATTTTGCAATTTCTATAGGTTAAATTAATGTTCATAATATGATGAAATGTTAATTTTGTGAGTTGGTATTGGAGTTACCTGGAATGAAAGCAATATTTTGCTTTATGCAACTTTCAGGAACTCCCGTGGATTGTGTATCATTAGCGTTATGTGGTTCACTATTTACATGGTCAAAGCCCCTGTTGGTATGATTTTAATTCTTACAATTGTTGGAGTTTTTCTCCTTTTAAATATTGCTTGGCTACAAAGGGTTTAAGTTGTGGACACCAACATGTAAGTTCTTGCCATTTCTCTTTGTTTTGCCTGATGTAGGTTATAAGTGGTATCAACAAGGGTTTAAGCTGTGGACACCACATGTAAGTTCTTGCGATTTCTATTGCAACTTTGTAAGTTATATCCAATCTTTTTGGTTGTAATTGGTTCATATGAGCTCTGTACTTTATTAATTGCCTGACAATATCAGGTTTTATTCGGGTGTCGTTGCTGGGGCTAGGGAAGCATTGGTTAATGGTGTGCCATCTATATCAATATCATTAAACTGGTATGTTGGTGATCCTTTGGTGTACCTTACAGCTGTGTACAGTCATTTTGAATGTATCTAACAGGATGCAAAATTAATCTATGATAGGAAGAAAGATGGAAGTAAGGAAAGTGACTTCAAGGATGCTGTGACTGTTTGCTTACCATTGATACAAGCAATGATAAGAGATGTGGAGAAGGGCGTTTTCCCCAATAGTTGTTCACTAAGTGTAGAAGTTCCAACCACACCCTTGACAAACAAGGTCTGTTTCTAATATAATGGATCCTGGTAATCTATTGAATGAAATCATATCTTACGGTGAAAACATTTTAAGTTGCTAAAGAATAATTAAAGAGAAACACCTGGAATTAGTAATGCATGGAATGTTTGACTTTTGATCATGCCTTCATGATTTCCTAGTTTGGAATTGATTTGACATTGTCTGTAAGTTCTATTTATTTGCCAAGCTGACAAGTAGTTGTTATGCTGCTGATCCATCTAGTTAATGACTGTTATATATTCGTTATCTTCATTCTCATATTTGTGTAGGATGTTTTGATTGTTACGAGAATGGAACCGTAGACACACGTATAGAAAACATTACGAGAGTAGTAGAGAACTTGCTGGTTTTATCCATTTTCCTTCTTTTATTTCCGATGTCCAATTTGATTTGTTTGTAGAACTTGTTTTCTTACACATTAGCTTCCCGGCTATGGTAGAAGTTAAAATATCTTTGCTTCTTTGATTTGACTCTATTTGCATTCTTTATACCTGGTCATAATTTGTTGGCAGCTAACTGTATACATTTATGACAAAAGAATTCCATATATTTAGCTCGGAGGTCTCATCACTATACCCTCCCCCTCTTGATTGATCACCATTGTTGCTCATTTTAAGTTGGGAATGAGACTTACTAGAAATTGATTTGCTTAAGCACTGCTGTTTTGAGTGAACCACACAGGGATGAATAATAAGGAAATGCAATATCAAATTGGAATTTATATGATCAAAAGGATCACTGAATAAAACTGCAGTCAATTATGTAAAAAGGAGAACCTAACTGTTTAACTTGTATTGCATGACAACAATTGGACAGCAGTTTCAAAGTTGAGGATACAGATAAAGTATCCATGATATCAGCATCCCTAGTTTATACATAATTTAGCTCCTTTCCGCGATTTGCGAAAATAATATCCTCAAGCACTTACCTTCCCGCGGTATGAAGTCTTATAAACATTATGCTCCCATATAATCTTTATACTTTCATTACGTTAATCATTCATTTGACGATTTCATGTACTTTATCTTATTATACCTCTTTGCTTATGTAATAGTTATTCTAGGGTCTCGAATAATGAAAGTAGGTCTCTTCATAGTTTATCATAAGAGATATTGATAAGCTTACTTCGAACAATACATTATTGTGGATCTAGTGTGATTTACCTCTTAAACAATCATTATTAGGTTCTACCAACAATGTGTTGCAAATTTATCCCTCCAAAATTTGTTTTGATTGCTATGTCGGTTTCATATCTTTTTGTTGCCTATTTGAGTTGAGGCTTATGTTAGGTTGAATGCACTTCTTCAACGACCAAATCTATTAACTGTTAATGCCATAATGGATTAATTAGCATTTGTATGTGCCTAGTATGTTACAATCAGCATGAGTACGAACCAATGGAATCTTAGAGTTGGCCTTTTAGATGCATTTCTTTTGCCTCATCCACTACCTTACTTTATGTGATTTCACAACCCGATGAATCAATCTCTCTCTCTCTCTTGGACTATTGTTTGGCGGTCTTCAGGGGCGGAGCCCAGTATGGTCCAGTGTGGGCACAGGCCCACACTGA